TTCATCACTTAAATTGTTCTAAATTACCCAAAAAATTGCATATTAATGTAGTGATAAAAAAAAAAAGAATACTGTTGGAAGAGTTGAAATTAAATTATTAGCTTCAGGGCATACCACAAACGTCACTTTGTTTAGGTTATTTTCACTGCTACCATTCTAATCTACAAGAAAAGTTGATCAAAATTGCCTGTAGATATAATAAAGTCCTATTAATTACATCTTACAGTAATGAAACTAAACACTTCTTACGTCTTTTACATCAAAAAAAAAAAAAAAAACACTTCTTACTTCTTTAAGCCGTAAACTGTTGCTTTTGTACAGAACTACAAATGCTATATAAAGTGACCTTATGTATCTTCCTATGCAAATTAATAATAAAAAATACAATTAATGCAGGGTAAACTCTGCAAAAAAATTAAAAAAAACCATTTTCAAATCTTACTGTTGTGGTATTCATATCCGATTTAATCCGATTGATTTCGTTTAAACTGATCCAATTCAATCAGAAATCGATCCAAACCAATATAAAATTAGGTTGGTTTAAATTATAAAATTTTAAAATTAATATAATTGGTTTGGTTTATGATTTTACCTTCAAATAACCTAAACTGTCTAATTACAAAATAAAATCTGATTACAAGATAAGTTAATTGAATAATATAATATAAATTTTTGTAGTATTTTAATTTTTTTTTATTTTACAAGATAATAACTTCATTTATTTAATTAAAAAAAAAAAGAAACATCTCCATGGTCCTTTAAGTTATTTTTTCATTTTAATCATGCACCATAATCCTAATTCTAAATTTCTAATTCACTTATAACTTTATTCCTTGAAAATTGGTCTGCGCGTTTACGCTTAAAATCTTAAAATTTTAATTTATTTCTAAAATAATATTATGATTCTTTTTTTAAAAAGTATTATTTTAAAAGTCTTAAAACCATATAATAAATTTGGCCTTGATATTCTACTATTATTGGATATTTAGTTTAAAAGTTTTAAATTTTGATTATGAATGTTTCTAATCAATTTTAGTTATATTTATGTTAAATTTTATTTACTTTTAACAGAATTTAGATTATGTGATTAAATTATTAATGCATTCAAAAAAAACTAATTTTAAACTTTAAGAATTATTTATACTATACTAGAAACTTAAAGTTATCTTTTATTGTTCCTTGTACCTCTAGTGATGTAATAAAAAAAATTTTTCAAATCTTTTCGATTTTTA